GGGCGAGGGGGAAGGGAAACATGGGTGTGTGTGTTGCTTGGATGCGTGCATGCATGCATGCATACAATGTAGATTGATGGATTGATGGATGGATGATAATGGGCGGTTGATTGGATTGGGTGTGTGACAATACAGGGACAATTGGTTTGTCTTTTGTCTTTTGTTTTGTGCATTACTTGGTTTGGTTTAGTTTGGTCAAGTTCTTTGGGCATAGGAAGCTACTGCTAGCTATGCTACTACTTACTACTTACTACCTATCTGAGGAGGAGATGGTGTAGGTTGGGGGCGGGCTGTCAAACTTGCTGGAGTTGGTATACACGGCATAAAGGGGGAAAAAAGAAAACACTAAATCATCCACACACAACGGCAGGCAACTATGCAGGGCTAGCTGGCAAGAGAAAAAAAAGCTATCAATCACACTTTCAAACAATCCCCTCCCCCCCTCTCATCAAACATGGTGGAGAAGAGGGAAAAAAGAGGAGGTGTGGGGGGAGGAAGAGGGGATCAAAGAAGGGAGACTAAATCCTGTCCGACAAAAAGTGTAAGTAAAGGAGAGTTATCAAATCAGGCTATACCCAACGACGGCACCATCCCCTGCTCCTCTTTGTGCTCACTGCCCACCCGGTATGACACTCGGTACCGCATCTTGATCGAGTTGCCCTTACCCCCCGCTACCCCGGAGATGAGCATCTCCTGCTGCACCCCGTTGTTCTGCAGCGGTCCAATGTCCCGCCCGGACTGCGGGCGGAGTTGCAACGTGTACGCCTGTGGGAATTGTTTAGCTTCTTCCTCTTCTGTCCAAAGGGAAGCGGAGGGAACTTTACAACTCACCTTCTCCACGGCCACCTGGAAGTGTAGTTCGTTCAGTGGCTGGCTCGTGCCGTTCGAAAACAGGGCCACCACATGGATTTGCTGCGACTGCTGGGGGTGTCGCCGCGCCACAAATTCAATTCGGAGTGCCGAATTCAATACCGACACCCGGTTGGTGCTCGGTAGCGTGTTGCTCTCCGGCAGCGACGATGCAAAGTTCCATTCGTCCTCCTCCGCCGCCTTGCCGCTGCTGCCAACCGGTTGCGTCGGTCCGCTTCCTGCCAGATCGAGCAGGGACCCCCCAGCGGCTGCATGGCCGGCTGCAGATCCTCCAGACGGGAGGGGACTGGCATGTCGGGGACTAGCGGATACCAGCGAAGCGAATGGGTCGACAGCCGGTGGGGGAGTGGGCGTTGCGACGATGCTCTGGGGTCGTGCACTTGGCACCGGAGTGGCTGACTGCGATGGCGGTTGGGAAGAGCTGCCCAGCGAGGACAGGATGTCGTAGTTCGGCTTGAATCCACCAGGAGCCTGCGGCACCGGTGGTGTAGCAGTGGTCGTGATCGCTAGCACGAGGATTAGCCATGTCAACTCATTCATGTCAGCAGCAGATGTCTCCTACATGGTCCTAACGAGATACCACCCACGGCCGGAGCGGGCTCATCTATTGACAGCCCCAGCAAGTCGTTCTCCAATGAACTGCCTCCGGTCGCGGCCGGCGCACCGTTGCCGTTAGTACTAGCACTTGCAGGAGGTTCCGGGTCAAAGTCGATAAGCGACAGCTGGTTGTTTGCGTTCTTCGATACACCTGTTGTCGTGCCCAATGTGCCCTTGGGGATTCGTGTGGCGGCTTCCCAGTCGCCCTTCTTGACAAGCTTGTACCGCTCAATGGTCCGGTGTATGCTGTCGTTGATCTCGAGCAACTTGTGAACCGCCTCCGGATCATCCGACTCCTCCTCGCACATCTTCTGGATCTTGGGATGGGCACTCTGCAGCGCCCCAGCCAGTTCCTAGCAACCCGACAGTCAGTTGACAATCAAACGAGACACAGCGCCGCACTTCCAAGCTTACCTCGAACACATCACCCTCCGCGACCGGGTCGCCAGGCTGGTGACTCTGTAGCATTTCCTCCAAGATCTTCGCCTTCTGCTGCACCTTGGCGACCTCTTCCGCCGCCTTAGCCCGATAATCAGTCTTGTGTCTGTTGTCGTACCCGGCCATGACCTTCATCAGACGATTAGCCTCCTGCAGATCCGCAGGCGTACCCCTACGAATCAGCTCCTGCAATTTAGCCGACTGGGCCTCTTTCTCCTCCTCTTCCATCTCCTCCGCAGACCGCAGATTCTATTTCAAATATCACTAGTCAGCAACACTCCCTAGAACCAGTGGGGGCGGGGATCACGCACATCACTCGGATTCAAGACGGCCGCATCCTCATGGCGAATTTCCGGAAACACATAACCTTTGTAGAGTAATAGCCGATGCATATCACGAATATGGCCTAGATCCTCCTTGTACCGCGACGTCTGGCAGATCGTTTGTCTCCACTCCTCAATGGACTCGAGGATGCGATGTTGCACCCGAGTCGGCCGCAGCTGCGGTCGCTCGGGGAATCGACGAACCAGCTCATTCAGAAACTCTTTAGTGCTAATCTGGAGGTGAAATGGGTAACCGCAGTTTTTGACGCAGATGTCGAGAAGCTAAAAGGTGACAAGAGTCGCAGGGGTGGAATGTTAGCCCCGCATTCAGGCACATCTAAGCTCCATTATATGGTTGGTTGGTCTGGAATAAAAAGCCTACCGCCAATGCTAGTAACGCCACATTCTGATTCCGCGAGTTGATTAGGTGGACGATTTCGAAGGCAGCTTCGCGAGGTCTAGAAGTGTGGAGGGTTGGGTGGGTTAGTTTAACGGCGCGGGTCGGTGGACGCGACACAGTAGTAAGTAGCAACTCACGCATTGCCTTTCTTGGAGTTGATCAGATCGGCCACTTCAAGGTTCAGGGCGAGGTTGGGTTCGTAGTGCGACAAGTCGCAGGCATTTCCTGTAGGAGTCGTAAATATTTAGCCAACCAAAATATCAAAAGAATTCTGTATTGGTGTGTGCGTTGCTATTTGGGGAGGGACAAAAAGAACACAGGGGTGACGTACGAACAGCCCGTTGCAGCGGTGTTAAGCCCGGCTCAGCGTAGGCACCGAAACGGTCCCTCGCTGCCATGCGTGCTGAAGCGGCCTCCAGGGTGACGGCGGATTATGTGTAAGCTGGATAAAAGGGAGAGAGAAAATAAGAAAAAAGCACAATTGAAATAAAAGGGAGTCAGTCGAACAGGACCGTGACTCAGGGCGGAGAGTGAGGGGAAAAGGACCGGAGACAACAGAAAGAGAGAGTTGAGAGATAGAGAGGGGATGAGTTAAGTTAGTAGCTCGAAATGGAACCAACCGACTTGGTTTACTTGCCCGACTCACTCCCGCTGGCTGGCTGCCCGCTGGCTTTACTAGTTCGTTTTCCCACTCACTCCACGTGTGGCGCCCGCCGTCATCTTTCAACTTTCCCCTTCTTCAATAATTTTCCGCAATTCTTCAATCACCTCCCACTGTCACGCACAACACAAAATAACAACAACAACACACATCCACCATGGTCCGCCATAAAAAAGACAACTTCGCTCGAGGAGGCAAGAAATTCTCCTCCAAGGGTCCCCGTCCTCCCCGCCGCGATCCCGCCGACCCTGACGCCGATGATGCCGACCGCCCCTCCAGACCTCCATTCAAAGCCGCCTGTTGGGATCTGGGTCACTGTGATCCCAAGCGCTGCTCAGGAAAGAGATTGATGAACTTTGGTCTGATGCGCGAGCTGCAGATCGGCCAGCGATTCCCGGGTGTAATTGTCTCGTACGTTGTCACCCATCCCCACCCTATACAACAATCACCAAACAAAACCCCCCAATAAACTAACATCCACATCACATCACTATCCAGACCTAACGCAAAGAAAATCATCTCCCCGGTCGATAAAGACCTCCTCGAACAGTTCGGCGCCGCAGTAGTAGAATGTTCCTGGGTGCGAGTGAAGGAAGTGCCCTGGTCGCGAATCGGAGGAAAATGCGAACGACTCTGTAAGACTCCCGAATTCACAACCAATATTCAACATCACGAACAATAATACTAATACATCGATCTTGAATGAAAAAAAATAGTACCCTACCTCATCGCCGCCAACACAGTCAACTACGGCAAACCCTGGCGCCTAAACTGCGTGGAAGCCCTTGCCGCCTGTTTCTGCATCTGCGGCCACGAAGACTGGGCCCGCCAAGTCCTTAAACCCTTCCGCTACGGCGAAGCCTTCCTAGAAATCAACGGAAAACTACTCAAGCGGTACGCCGCCTGCGCTGACGAAGACGAAATCAAGCGCGCCGAGGAGGAATGGCTCGCCAAGATCGAGCGGGAATACGAGGAGAGTCGGGCCGCGGGCGGCGCAGACGATATTTGGACGGTGGGGAATACGAATCGGAGGGCGGAGTCGGATTCTGAGGAGGATGATGAGGAGGGTTCGGGCTCTGATAAGGATAACAACGATGAGGAGGAAGAGGAAGAAGAGGAGGAAGATAAAGACCCCTTCGCGATATCAGACGACTCGGAAGAGGAAGAACAAATGGCTGCTATTCGAGCCAAGATCCTAAATTCCAAGTCGTTTCAGAATCCCTCGGCTTCGGATAAGCCGCAGCCGGAGAAGATTGCGAGACCGGAGGAGGAAGGGTCGAAGTCGAGGCCGTTGGAGGATTCGGATGCTGAGTCCGGGTCTGCGGAGGGGAGTGAGGATGAGGCGTTCGATAGTATTATCAATGCGACGCCGGTGACGGATCGGACGGGAATTATTGCGGCGCAGAAGAAGAAGAAGGAGACGTTTAGTGCGTCGTTTTCCAGGACGGTGGTGGATGCGCCGAAGCGGTGGTAGTGGGATGGATCCTTTTCTTATTCTTGATCGTGTTCGGATGGGACTGGATGGGTTTGGATGTTACAAAAGTTATGATATGAGCATGCATCTCATGGGTACATATAAATAAATAGGCATGAATGTAATGAATGATACCGTGATGAGATTTACTACCATGGATGGATTAAGTAGTTATTTGTTGATCGATTGACTTTGATTTATCGGTCTTTCTTTTCTCTTTTCTTCAATATAAACAGCGAAAACCAACCCCGTCCCGTTCATTGCTGTCCCCGTCCCAGTCACATATAATGCATGCAAAGCATAACGAGGCATCTCAGACATATCAAGGCGATCATAACCATCTCATGCTTAGCGAGAAGGGGGGAAGAGGAAGTAAGAAAGTAAACAATAGATTGACTGAAACCCTTTTGCCCTATTCCGAATGAAGAGAAATGACTACCCCCCGCAAGCACCCCGCAAATTACAAAGCAACTATTTACATAACATAGAGCACATTCACGTCTAAATGATTCCGTCAGAAAATTCCATCTTCCTAATCACGAAGCGACAGGCGACTGCTTACCCAAGGGATGGCTGCAGCTCAGCTGCGGCTTCTGCGTATACTTGGTGGACAACTCGTCTCGGATGCTGTTCAGCAGCTGGACGTAACTCTGCTGCGGGTTCTTGCGAAGCGCGCTGATAAAGGCCCAGGACATGGCGCCGGTAGCCTGGCCGGCGATCTGGGCGTCCTGACTGGTCTGGTCGTCCTTGCTGCCGGACCACATGATAACGTCGGCTGGACTGGTCTTGGTCTGGATGGTGCGCTCGTACGCCTCGTCGCCCTTGGTCGCCTTCTTGAAGAACCCAACGGCCGTCGACATCATGCCGCTCATGTCGCCACGCGCGTAAGCCGAAACAACACCCAGCAGGCCCTGGCCCGCCTCCTTGGCCAAGTTGGGTTCCTTGAGAATACCCTGGGTCGAGTAAATGTAGGGCAGGTCGAGTGCGGAACCCGAGTGACAGGAGTCGAAGATAGCCGTCAGTCGGACACCCGGCTGCAGCGGTTTGACCATGATCCGGTGCATCTCATCGTCGACAATGTGGCCGGCAGCCCGGAAATCGACCGGGTAGATAACTTCGTCGTATCCGTCGTCTTCGTCGCCGTCGAGGTCAGGCGTCTGTCCACCGTGTCCTGCTATTGTCAGAACCAGTCCAGCAAATCGGGGTTATGAGGACGGCATACCAGAATAGTGGAAGAAGAGCGAATCGTTCGGCTGGGCATCCTTGACGAGCCAGTGCATAGCCCGAAGAATGTTAGCCTTAGTGGGTTGACTCATGGGGTTTTGTTGATCATCCGTCAGGAGGACCATGTCTTCGCGAGCGTAACCAAAGTTCTGATTTAGGTAGGTGGACATGTTTTTGACATCGTTGATACATCCGCGCAGCTGGCCCTTCTGGTTAAAGTAGTTGATACCGATCAGCAACGCCTTTCTCTTGCCCGTGCAGCGCGAGTACTGGAAGTTGTAACCCTGCGGCGCGCCTTGGCCGAAGCTGACGGGTTCGCTGGGCGGCGGCGGAGGGGCGCTGTGGTTGCCTTGGTTGTAGGAGTTATGGTAGGCATCGGCGATACCTACAAGAGGCGTCAGTTGGGATAGAAGCTTTGCACAAGATATCGCAGTGACATACCTGGCCGGCCCCCATACATCGGGCCTTGGCTGGCAGAAGGGTAGCCACCCTAGAGAAGCGACGTCAGCTTCCACCCATACCCACCAACATGCAGAACAGGCGACGCATCATGCAAGACATACATTGTATCCGTTTTGAGGGGGTTGCGATCCTTGGTACTGCTGAGGAGAGGGCTGGCTGTAGGGGTAAGGGTTGCTGGGAGGCTGCTGTTGGCGATAAGCCTGGCCGGGGTAACCACCGCCCCCGTAGGACGAGTGGTGGTGTGAGTGGTGAGGATTCATCTGTCTGCCAAAGCTACGTCAGCGCGACGTCTAAAAGTAGCGGTTTCGTATTTGTGAAAATGCGGGAAGAGGGACTGAGAGTTTATGGGAGAACAAAATCTCACGAGGGGAGCAAGTAAGGAGATCTCACGGCTGCTGATATTGGGGCGGGGAGCCATAGCTCTGCTGCTGCGGAGGATAGGAATATTGCTGCGGAGGGTACCCGGGCGGGCCCGAGTAAGGTGGATAGTAGGACATGGTCTGACAAGAAAGAAGAGGAGGAGGGGGGGAGGGGAAGGGAAAGAGATCAGGTGAAACCAGAAAAAAGGTTTGATGTGAGGATGGGAATGCAAACCGGCAGGAAGCAGACAAATAAGAGGCTGAGTGAACGGAGGGATGGGGGGGAAAAGGTGGAAGGGAAGGATGGAGGAGGAACAAGAAAAGGCGCAGGCGTCAGTCAGTCAGATGGGGAACCGATGGCAGATTTGCGGCATAAGCCAGTGGAGCGGATCGCGCCGATTGGGTTCCGGACCGGGGAGAAAGAAGGGGGAGAAGAGAATCAATACAAAAGGTAGTAAATAGATCCTAAGTAATACTAAGTAATAAAGACCCCAATCACTGGAAAATTAAAACTAAAAGTAAAACTGATGGGCGATTCTTTACTCCTCGAGGAAAGGCACGACTAATTAAATTAATATGTTAAATGGTCTCCCTGCACGACGCACGTCCTTCCTTCCTTCCACCCACTCGGTCCCTCCGGCGCAGAAAAACAAAGCATGCCTCGGTCTCCCCGAATCCCTTTTTTTGCTCTCTTTTTTTCCCTGTCTGTCTCTCCTGTGCTTCTGAATAAACGAACATGCCCAATCTCAGACAGCCAGCCAATTCCTTCATTCCCCATTTCTCCCCCTCCCGATCCACACCTTAAATAGCACGGACTTGCCTATCCACCCCCTTGGGCCCAGAACACTCATCTAGAGAATTCCCAATCGTTCATTCTCTACACAAAGTAGATCTTCCATCATGCACAATCCCTGCTTGTTTCCTGCTTGCTGCACGTGACTGTGCAATAACCAGCGACACCGAAGAATGAATAGTTCCATACGTAGGTAGGCAGTACTGATTATAAACAACTCAAATTTTCCCCTTTATAGTTATGGGAGATTCGAAATTTGCTTTACTGTACTAGTGGTACCTCTCTTCCTCCCTCCAACCTATCCCAATCCATCCTTCGTCTTCCGACATTTACCGTCCACGTCGGGGCATGCCACGTCCGCGACCTCCTCCAAGCGCCCGCTGGGCAGCACCCGGCGGCAGGCCTCGTGTTGGGGCCTGAGCTTGGGCCGACTCTTCGTTCTCTGGAGGAAAAAAAGAAAATCACCATCGGTCAGCCTAAAAGATACTATAGGGCTTAGGAGTGACACTATATCACTGGGGTACTCACTGATCGTCTCGTCCACACTCAAGATCAAGCATGCAGCCTCCACTGCCGCCTGAATGGCGTTCACCTTGACCAGACTGGGCTCCCACACGAAAGCCGCCATGTTGTCCCGAACACCCTCGTGATCAAAGTCGACACCAGCCCAGACGTTGCCCTTGCGGTGCTCCACCCGCAGCCGGTTCAAAATGTCCGTCGCATCGAAACCTGCGTTATCGCACAGCTGGCGGGGGATCACCTCCAGGGCCTTGGCGAACGCCTTGACGACCGCCTGCTGCTTGTGGGGCACGTTGCGGTCCGCAAAGCCGTGCATGAAGCTGGACAGTTCCATCTCGGTAGCACCACCACCCGCGACAATGGTCGTGTGGCGGAGAGCACGCTTGACAATCATGATGGCGTCGTGCAGACTGCGCTCGACCTCGGCGATGAACTGCTCCGCTCCACCACGCAGCACAAGGGTGCAGGTCTTGGCCTTAGGGCACTCGGAGAAGAGGTTGTAACGCTCACCACCGATCTGGCGCTCCTCAAAAATACCGCAGGTACCCAGGTGGCGTTCCTGGATGTCGCTGCAGGTCGACTGGGTAGCCGCTCCGGTCGCCTGGCAGACCCGATCCATATCATCGGCCGCAACGCGACCAGCACAGAAGATGTCCCGATCCGCAAAGTATCTGTAGATGAAGAGAAACGAAGTAAGCATGTAGACCAATTTGCCAGAGAAGATTGCGAAAGAACATACTGCGTAGCCAAATCACCGATGGGGAGCTTGCTGAGAACAACCTTGGCTCCGGTCTTGTAGATAGCCTCCAGCTTGTTGTAGATGATCTGCCACTCGGCATCGACGATGGCCTGGTACTCCGACACATGCTCGACGCGCACCTCGGCGTTGTCCTTCTCACTCTTCAACTCCAGCTCGACGTTCAGGCAGACAATCTTGGGGTCCTTGAAGTACTTGGGCTGTTGCTCGAAACCGGCGTACGAGAAGGTCTTCTTGAAGGCGACACCGTTAACGAACAGAGATTCCTGGAGACCACCACCAGTAACCCGCTTCACACCGATCAGCTTCTCGTTAAGGTCGTCCTGGTCGAGCGAAAGCACGGCATCCACCACCACTAGGATATTTAGTCAGCATCTGTTCCCACGAACAACACAGCACCCATGGATAGGGGGGGAGCCCCTTACTCTTGGTGAAGAAGTCCGAGTTCCGCTTGATCAGCTTGCTGTTCATCGCCGTTCCGGCCAGACGGCGGAGCGTCTCAACCTTCTTTTCCTCACTTCCCGCAGACTCGATCACGTCCACGGCGATCTCCTTAATCTTGTTGACGGCCATCGCACTTCCCCTCCGTAGACCCTTGACGATGGTCTGTGAACTGACACCCTGCTCGACAAGTTCGCGAACTTCCTTCAAAATTTCACCGGCGAGGACGACAACCGACGTTGTTCCGTCGCCCACCTCAGCATCTTGAGAGCGGGCAATGTCCGTGAGAATGCGGGCGGCGGGGTGAACGATATCGAGAAGCTAGAACAGAAGACAAGGACAAGTAAGCTCATGAGGTAAAATAGAATATGAATAAATATTGCCTGGAGACTTCCGAAGGAAAGATATGAGGGTGTGTTTCTAGACGCACCTTCATCACAGTAGCTCCATCGTTGGTGATGGTCTGTCTACCGTTGCCGTCCACCATCAACAAGTCCCCTCCATAAGGACCGAGAGTGCTCTTGATCGTGGATTGCACGGCAACACAGGCATTGATGTTGGAGATGATCTGACCCTTGCCCTGGGAGGTATCGGTGCCTGAAGCAAAAGAAAACAATCAACGGAGTCAGCAAAATCTCTCAGCGATGACACACAGATGCCAATGCAAATGCGGGCGGGTTGACGGACCCTCCTTGAGCACGATGATCGTGGGTGCTTGGCCAGCGAAGGCCATTTTGATGAGATTATTTCAAGGAAGGACGGCGGAGAAAAGGGAAGTCTGTGAGCCAACGGACAAGGGGCTATAGAAAGATGAGATTGTGGCCCTGAGTGTCCTAGCTGGTCGGGGGTTCGATATCGCTGCTCGACCAAAATTTCCCCGAGCTTCTTTGGGATCGAAACTCTCCAGTGCTGGAGGCGGTGACCAATCATGCCGCGCCCCGCAGCCCTATTTGCTGCTTTTCCCCCTCAAAAACAATACCTTGACATTAGGAAAGTCCTATAATGTGATTATATCGAATGTTATTTTTTCTAGCAAATTCTTGAATTGCTTTATATTCATCTTCTTTTGCTGTATAAGGTTGATTTCTCACCATCTGAGGCCACTTCGTCCATCACATCCCTGAACCGTTCCTGTTGTCTAATCATTTGAACCCCACCAGATTCCAGCATAATATGAATGGAACTTTGACAAGAATACTTTGAAATTTAGTTCGGGGCACTGACATAGCACTCTTTGCTCGAGTTATAAGCACTATAGAGTTTTTCTTTAGTGTACTACTATGGTTATTCAATCCCATCATGTCTGCCAGGTAGCCACCCAGATATATGCCGTAGAGTGGCGGGGTTGGGCTTCTTCTGAGTACTATGATGGTGATAGTAGTAGTACTACTTGTCACTCTACAGTGCATGGGATCTCATATGTAGTGCTCGCTACTAAGATCCTAACTGATCCACACGACAGTGAACAAGTATCTTTTGAGAGATGACCCGCGATTGCCATTGATTATTCTCTCATATGCTCCCTAGAACCTCGAGTAGCATTACGTCTACCGCGTTGGTAACTAATATTACTCTCACCAGCTCGCTTACGGAATGCTCACATCATGATACAATTATCTTGAGGGCAGTCTGTATGCAGGGTGTCGCAACTACTAGACTGATCATATCTGGTGGCGATGGACGTGGTCTTTGCCGTGTCCCTACCCCATGTTCAAAGGCTACAGGGGTGGTGTACCCTTAGCGCAGATTGCCCTCAATCATCCCTAACCAACAAACAGAAGCCAAATATGAGCAGGTATAGCGTAGATATCCAGCTGTGTATTTCAGTTCAAGTTCGTGTGAGAGATAGTAGAGACGTATTGTACGCGTCCCGAGCACAGAGAAGTAATGCATAACCGAGATTACCTAGGCTGGCTCAGCTGAAGGGGCCACAGCTGAAGTCGATCGTCTAGACCATAAATTGGGAATAGCCTGCCGATCGACCCAATTATCCAAGCCAATAATATACAGTAGACAGTGTCTCTCGAGAAGCGCCGCAAAATGTTCAGCAGTAGCTGCGACCGCTAAACAGGGGAGGGAGTGGATATGGCACAGGTTTGGGGGGAATGTGGAGTATCTAGAGTTAGAACTTGAAAGGGAAGTCACAAACATTTGAGCAATTTAGCCCAGAATACTGGTTTTTTTTTTTTTTTTTTTTTTTTTTTTTGTCAGTAAAACTAGATCCATATGCTTGTTGTTTAGTAGATCGAGATAATGGATGCGACGTAAAACGCTCATCTGCGCGACATAGGGAGGCATCTCTGTTCTAGGTGTCAAGTTGCAGATGTCTTGATACTGATCGTACATGTCAGATAGGATGTAAACTGTGCAAGTCGAAATTGATCTAAATGTATCTGTTGGATTCTGATTCCCCATGAGAAGTTTCCAACATGCTGTGGGCAGTAATGCCACTGAAGAATCACTGCGCGAGTATCGTCCACATCCGTGGTCCTGGCTATTATTTCTAGCTCGAGGTCCCTGATCCATACCAATACATCCTAGTAAAGCTGATTGTCTCCTGACCTTGTTCTGCTCTAGTCTCCTTTAATCCGAGTCAACTAATGCGTTCTTTTCTCACCAGGCTTTCGGCTAGGCAACCCGCATTTGTCCGAGAGACCTTTTCAGGGCTTATCTATCGACTAGAATGCCTGACTATGATTCGATCAGCGTATGACCTGAACATCCAAGGTCTGACCATATCCAATTTATCGATTGATTGGTGAACTGCGTGGAAAAGTCCTCTCAAATGAGGTATTTTTGACAACTCAGAAGAGTCCCCAAAAAGCAAATCATGCGTCATTTCATTGACGGATGTAAAGGGAGAGCGGACTAAAGTCGAAACAGATTTCATTGTAGGTGATCAATTGTATGAGAGCCCTTCTGAGGCCAATGTCAGTCAGGGAATTTCGGATTAGGAGAGCCCACTAAGTCCTCGACGAAGTCGAGAGATATCAATGACAGTTTAGAACTCCTCCCAGTGGGTACAACAAAATGTATAGCTTGTAGATCATAAGCAGATCTACCGCGACATAGAGTTTGCGAATGTTACACGGCCAGCTCATGCGTTCTTGACAGGTCCACAGTACACCCAAGAACGAGGTGAAACAGGGAGGACTTGCATCCCATTATAGCCAAGGAAGAAAGACTCCCTGACGAATACTGCATTCAGCAGAGTCTCCCAAAAGAATAGCTCATATACATCTCACTTGCCTAGGTTTGTTAATAGTATGGCTAAGAAAGTGATAGGCCGTCAAGAAGCGAGGCAAAGGAGCAGACGCTTGTGGCGCATCCAGGGCTCTCGGTTGCCAGGATTCAAAGATGAATTTGTACAGCCTCAAAGACAACTGGCATGGTGGATGATCTAAACCGAAGAAGCCATACTACAGTAGACTTAAAATATTACTGGAGTTGCTTTTCGAGGAATGTAGATCATGCAGGTCAGGTGATGCAGAAGCGTCACCCACATCTTTGGGCTCTTCCCCTCTCTACTACATCCTCGTATTTAAGCTATTGTCCAGGTGATCAGACTTCATCCGAATCAGTTCGAATATCATCAATCAAATTGTGTCCTGAATACCCTTACTGAGCTCCATATCCCATAACTTAGCTTTATTTGTCTATACATAGCTCCTCCCCAGTGTAGTTCTCCTGCCCTCGCGATAGTATGTCAACCACAGATCTACCCCAGTATTATCCGAACAACTTGACTCCGCTAGATATAAATCAAGAAACACTGGAAAACGCCCTCAAAGAGCTGCAGGTTGCTGTGAATCGTGGTGCAACTTTATTGCAGGAGGGCTGTCCTCCTCAGAGCGAATGGGGCAAAACCTACAACACGGGTATATACGTGGGATTTCCAGGTATGCGTATAGCTTTCACGCTGTTGGTGGTTGAGTGATATGCTTCATAACAGAATTTTGGCAAGTGTAATCTGATGGATCTTCTCCTGCAGGAATTGCTCTTGCTTTCCTCCGACTGGACCATCAGGTCAAAGCGTTCAGCAACAAAGATGTCGGACTTCCTCTTGACTTCCGCAGACTTGCAAGCGAGCAAATCCTTCCACATGGACCGGACATTCCACTTTTGCCCGGAAGATTAGCACCTTTTGGCTCCCCCAGTGTGCTTGTGGGACCTCTGATGCGAATTCTCGCAGCCGCCCAATCCGGTGCATCCATGTCCGAAGCTGATATCGAATGTCTCAGAAATGTCGTACAAGTGGCCATCGGAAATCCCCACATGCTACCACACGGTGATGGGATGATGGGTACGGACGAAGTTTTGTATGGTCGAGCGGGTGTATTGTGGGTTGTACTGAGCGTGAGAGCTCACAAGTATGATGAGAGGGCTACAGGCCTTCTGACCTCCATTTTCGAATCTGTTCCAGACCTTATTGATGCTATTATCAAGGGTGGGCTTCAAGGCAGAGAAGACTATCTAGAGGAGTATGGGGAGAGAAATGCTTTGCCGTTGATGTGGCACTGGCATGAAGATCGGTATGGCCTAGGAGCGTAAGTAATGCCCCCACCATCGTCACAAATGCTGAGCGACAAAACGGCAAATCTAACATATCTGACTAGGGTACATGGAATGTGTATGTTACTACGTCTGTTAAGAAAATCCTAATGATACACTCCGCTGACAAGCTTTTGTAGCTGGCATACTCGCAGCCCTCCTTGCCTGCGATCCTGAAGAGCTCAACGACGGTGCTTCGCGTAATTACCTGCCCCTGATAGCGGAAACAATCACCGGTCTTTGCAAGATATGTATTGCTCATAACGGCCATCTCCCATCGACTCTTCCCGATCGTGGTCCTTCATCCAAGCGCTCCTCACCTCTCGTCCAGATTTGCCATGGTAGTCCCGGCATTTTGACCCTTATGGCATGCGCCAGGCGGAACAAGCCCCTGATCTCTAACTTCTGGCAGCCAGAATGGGATATAGCAATTCGCCTGGCAAGCGAACGGGTCTGGGAAGAAGGACTACTTTCCAAAGGCGGCGGGATCTGTCATGGCATTACCGGCAGTGCATGGCCATTGTTGCTTCTGCACGACAGCTTCGAGTATGATAAGGAAGAGATGCAAGCAGCCAGAGAGAGATATATGGGGAGAACACAGACAACCAACGCAACAGTATTGGATACCGGGCTCACTGGTGACTATTTCCTGTCGAGAGCGCTGGCGATGTTGTTGCATGTGCGGGAGACACCTCCATACCAAAGCTCCGTCACGCCAACGTCTAACATCTATCGACTACCTGATCGCCCATTCTCCCTCACAGAAGGCCTAGCTGGAGCTGTCTGTGCGTGGGCAGACGCATGTGTGTCTGTCCAGATGAGACTGCGAAGCATGCTTCTGCAGAAGAAGTGGCCGGACAGTTCTTCGTCTTTGAAGTCAGATCCAACCTTCCAAGATCTCGAGAGCTTGAAATTGGGAATTCCAACGCTTGCTTATCACCGGGCTACACCTTTGCCTTGAGAAGGGAATATGAGAAGCTTTTCTATTGATGCAGAGCTTAAGAAAGCAAAATTGTGATGACAGCAAAGTATGTATGGGAATCTTGCATGTATGTCGCTCAAGAACAAAAATCGTCGCTCCAAATATTCAACATAGGGGAACCTGATGCTAAAAGACTCCAAACTCCATGCTCTTGGCTCAACTCCAGTCGCTGATAAACGAGAGTAAAAAATTGTAAACACGATCAAAGATCACTATCATGTTTACACGAGTTAAAAAAGCGTGAAACCCGTGCGATACATGGGTGGTTGGCCCGGGAATTCAGTCCTGTACTCGACACGTTTAGGCAAGTAGTTCCCATTCGGAGCTTCCACAGCAACTCTCCATCTCCGCCAGCAGTTTGAAAGCTGGTGACTTCTATCACCACAGAAGGTACAGCGCATTTGCACCGGTCGTTGAACAGGTCCTCCCTGCATCGGTTGACTGTAACTTCGATTCCTTGTAGTTTGCTCCCGTTCGCGACGCATCTGTTCAACCACGTAGTCATTGATTTCCTCCTGACTGGGCCGCTTAGCATGTCCCCGGACACTTCCACTGCGATTACGGAATGCCTCATCCTTATGCATCTGTTTAACAACGAATGCGTTGATCTCGTCCTGAGTGAGAGCGCGAGGATCTTCCGGAACCTCCAATGGCGATGCAAACCCTCTCTTGGCAGCACCATGATCACCACCCCATGCACTCCTTCCCCGCGGCTGACGGATCTTCTCTTGCTCCATGGCCAATTGGGCCAGCTCCTGGAAGGTCACCTGCTCCGCAGGATTGGAGGAGCACATCCGACTATCTCGCAGCATGGCAGATGCCCAGTCACTCCAATCAGGACATTCTTTGAGCTTTGTCAAAAAGAGCATATTGATCTGCGAGTCGGGAATATAGGAATCATCGTCGATTTGCGTAAGCCCTTCGCGGATTGCTTGGATGAGTGCGACGAAATCGGCGATCATGTCGGACTTTTGAGGGTCGAGGTCGAGGACCTCGCTGACTTGGTGCATCCTGCGAATGTTTCGCTGCCATGGCTCCATTTTGGGACTATGGAGCAAAGAAATTGAGGTGAGGAGATTTGGAAGAGAGAGAAGGCCAGTACGTATCATTTAAGCGCCGTGAATCAGTTGGTTTTATTTGTCGGCGATGGTTTGCTGACCGTGCGGGGGATGACGTCAGAAAGAGAGCCGTACAATTAATTACTGTATCCATACGATAACAGTGTCTGTTCTTATCGTTGCTTCGGTTCTCTCCTTTGCTTCAGGTCTTATTCTCCCCTCTATGGTTGTGGCTGCTACTATATTTCATATTCCACAGTAGGATGTTATTATTTACGGCCGATTAAAGTATGGAGTTTCTTTGGCTCTATGGATCCTTCGGGTCTTCCCTCGCCCCATCGTGAACCGTGGCAGTGCCCGACGCCCATCTGCAAGTCAGCAGCATCTCTTTGGGGGCCGCTATTCTTTTAGTTTCATTTGCGTAGCGGCGTGTGACAACCAGTCCAGATAATTGCCCAACCCATCATTTCTCTCAAATGTGCTGCAGACGGTTTCTGCGCATCCTGCTAGCCTAATCTAGGACAAGGCTTAAAGGCCCCATCACCCGGGTGGAGAGAGAAATCCCATCGCGTACAACTGTGACAATGGATACTGTGCCACCATCCTACCAAACCGCTACCACCAGAGACGCATGGTCGGTTATAGCACACTACATCCCGTCAAGCGACCTATGCGCAGCGGTCTTGGTATGTCAGAAATGGCATGGTATCTTCATGCCCTTTCTGTGGGGGGATCCCGCTTCCCACTTTGGAACGGATAACGATGCGGTTTATGGTAGGTCTGAACAAGATCCCACGACTATTTGGTTTGACTGTTTGGCGCTGACAAGACACACTAGTTGCTCTCACAAGGTTCAGAAGGACACTAAAATATGCCCGTCTCAAGGTGCGGATGCTCACCCATACGTTGCATCTGCCGCCTGCTCTCTCGGAGATTTATGGTGGTCCACGACCCGAGTGGCTAAAGGAGATCCTGGATGCTCTACCGTGCCTCCAGTCGTTGATGGTCTCAAAGCTACCATTCTTTGACCACAATGCTATGACCGCCTTGAGAAGATCTAGTTCATTTGGAGAAAATGACACAGCTGCCCAGACCTACAATGTCCGTCTGCTATTAGCGGATAGTGAGCCAAATGCGACATCACACGGTATTGCGGAGACCTTACTACGCTTCCCGGAATTGATCTATCTCGATTTGTCTTACACCACCCCTGCGCGGGATCGCACAGTCCTGTCATCGCTATCACAGTTGGAAAACCTCCAGGTCCTCAAGCTTCGAGGTATTGGTTTAAAGGACAATGATGCAGAATTCCTGGCCAACGCCATCGGACGCAGAGTCCGATTTCTGGACCTGCGCAACAATTTGCTTACTGATATGTCCATACGGTCATTATTGCAAGCATCCTTCTTACCCCCTGGTGCTGAGGATAGATTACAACGAGCGACACTAGCGTCACTGGGATCCCTTGCCCACTCTCCGCAATCGAGACCCTTGCTGTCTGACAGGAGGTTTCTTAGGACCCCGCTCTTAGATGAACAAATCCTGAAAGCTTTAACACAACCATTGACAGGGCGCTCCTGGGTTGAGGATTTGTCCCATGCAGGCATAACACACCTCTATATCGCCGAGAATCCTATTTCTGTGGAAGGAGCCGCAAGTCTTTTGTTCTCATCTCGCCTGCACGCTCTGGATGTGGGAACCGTTGACACTATAGAGTCTATCGGAAGAAACCAGAGCTCTCTTGCTTCACCTCAAGACGATTCCCACAAGCTTCCTGGTGCTGAGAAATTGATTCCCATCCTGGGGACTGTTGCCAAGGGAAACCTCACCTATCTTCGAGCTCATCATGCCGTCTGTACAGTTGATGCGCCGTCAAGGGAGACCTCAACGGCGGACATGTTGCTACCAGAGCTCCCTGCTGGGAATGAGAGTGAAGTGCGTACAATGGCAGAGTTGGGTACGAGCCATCAGATTTATGAACTAGCATCAAACGAAGCACCGATTTTCGAGCTCCCTGGTTCACCAGTCCCACAATCTCCGGATTGGCCTTCGCAGCCCGCCGAGCGCGGTCGAAAGCCAATCAATTATGAAGACGAACCACTACCTGACCTGCGACGAGGCTCTGTCTTCGCTCCCGAGGTGATCGGGGCAGATCAAGTCAGTGATGATGAGGGCCCGAGCAATACCTCTGCCGCAAGGGCTTCAAATCGCTTGCCCCATGATATCTCTTTCTCTAGCATTTCCAGCATCTCGGTGGGTGCAGCGGGGTCTATCCCGCAATGTTCTTCTCCCCTTTCAGTCGAAGATTCTCGAGCCCAGAAGATCCAGGAGTTGCTTGCTAAGCGGCCGAAAAGTCTTCCTCGACGTGATAACAAAAGGTTTTATTTTCCGTACCTGCATCCTTCGCATGTCCCTCATCTTGAAACATTGGTTTTGACCGACGTTCCATCTCACGTACCGCCGAACTCGCCTATCTTGCAAGCTCTTATTCGGTTCATAACCGCTTGCTCGAATGAATCATTACTTGCAACCCTACAAGCGGGCTCTGATTATTCACTCGCACCTGGAAGAGCTCGAGCCAAAGCTGAACAAGAACGTGCCAGGTCTTTATTTGGTCTGCGTCGCTTGGTGCTTGAGATTACACCCTCTGTTAGGTCCAATAAATTATCTAGATGGACTCCAGCCAGCTACAGGGTAGGAGCTTCAAAGTCAAGTACCGGTGATCGCGATTCGGAGAAGCTATGGTCAGCAGCAATAGGCGACTTCAGCTTCTTTGATGAAGAAGAATGCGGAGTACCCGATGTTTATTCGGGGAAATACTTCCCCATGGCAGCCTTGAACGAGAAGGTGACGTTGATTCCAGAAGATGACGATGTTCACACCTTACAGCCCGACATGGCTTCTTCACCAGGTAGGCTTCATCCAGATCCTTTGCGCTCGCGATCAAATTCAGTCGATCCCACGACTACACCTCGGAACATGCGCTCGCACAGCCCATTTTTGGACAAGGATAGAGAAATGGGGCCGCAGAATGATGTACCAGACGTTGATCTGGTCGCCGAATTGGCAGCATTCCGACGTAGTAAAAAGGCAGAGTATGAGGAAATGCTGAGGAGAGATCGCAGAAGACGTGGTACCGTCAGCACCATGTCCTCTCGCTTCTCTCCTTCCGTCTCCTCGTTTCAAACCATTTCGCCGTCGTCGAGCATAAATTCGTTGGCGACGGCATCGGCGCCTCATTCACCCATTGCTCATTACTTAGAAGGACACTGGAAGGGGGAAGTGAAGATTGTCCGAAACCCAGCGCCAAAGGGCCGAAGCGGGATGGTAGACATGTATGGGAATTATTTCGAGAAGGGCTATTTGTACCCTTGATGGGGTACTTATTTTGTTTGTGGCACTAGTTAGTTGATAGAGATCGCGAGCATGATACCCGATATATATTACACTCGATGACATATACATCGTAGATAATCACCCACAGCTGGCTTTGAACGATAGATGAGATAGTATTAATACTACCATCCTCTTCATATTTTTTATGGGGTTTACTACAAGGACCAGAACTGTCGTCTACTATGTAATTATGGAGGTGTAGTGTCATGCCTACAACTAGGGCACACCGAGCTAGTACGATAGAAAGTACACATCTCGCCGACAACCCCCTCTTAACAATAGATCATATAGAGCGAATCCATACAATCAAACATCTCTTTCCTCTAGTATCTCTACTAAGATAGCGAGCAAGAGACAACAAAAGTTTAGCTTAAATTCGTTCTTCGTTTTTAAGAAAGTTTGATATAGAAATTCGTCTTTCTCACACACGACTCCGTGCGCATAATTCATTCAACCCCGAAACTGAAACCCGTTCATTTCCATTTAAGAATTCCGCATAAAGTATAGTAAAGAAGTTATGGTGTG